TGTCTCTGGATCTATTTTGTTCCTCAGTCTATTTTGTTTATTAGATTCCACATGTGAATGAGATCATGCAAAACTGAATCAGGAAGAATCAAAAAACCTGAATAGGCCTATAACAACTGATGAAATCGAAGCAGCAATAAAAAAAAAGTCCCAGCAAACAAAAGCTCTGGTCTGATGGCTTCACAGGGGAGCTTTCTAATTCTTTAAGTTGTAGGGTTAGAGAGTTTACTAAAAATTTTTCTTGCTTCTTGAGGTAGGCCTGTAATGCTAGGAACTTCCCTGTCAGGGCTGCTTTTGCTGTGTCCCATAGATTTTGGATTGTTGTGTGTTCATTTTCATTTGTTTCCAGGAAGATTTTGATTTCTTTCTTGGTCTTATTGGTAAGCCATTCATTGTTTAATAACATGCTATTTAGCCTCCATGTGTTTGAATGTTTTGAGTGTTTTATTGTAGTTGATTTCTAATTTCGTGCCATTGTGATCTGAGATGCTTGATATGATTTCAATCTTCTTGAACTTGTAGAGACTGGTTTTGTGTCCTAACATGTGGTTTATCTTTGAGCATGACCCATGTGCCCTTGAGAGAAATACATATTCTGCAACTTTGGAGTAAAATGTTCTGTAAATATCAATTAAATCTATCTGATCTAATGTGTCATTTAGAGTCACTGTTCCTATGTTGACTTTTTGTCTGGAAGACCTATCCGGTGAAGTCAGTGGGGTATTCAAGTCCATGACTATGACTGTATTGCTGTTGATCTCTCCCTTAAAATCCTTAATGTTAATATTAATGGGTCCTTATTTATTGCCATTTTAATTTTTTATGTTCATGTTTCTCTCTCTATTTCTTCTTCTTATTACAGCAGTCACTTTAACATTTTCTACAGTGCTGGTTTGGTGGTGATAAACTCCTTTAGCCTTTTTTTGTTTGGGAAGCTCTTTATTTTACCATCTATTTTGAATGATAACCTTGCTGGATAGTGTAGTCTTGGTTTCAGATCCTTGTTTTGCATTACCTTGAATACTTCATGCCATTCCCTTCTGGCCCTCAGGGTTTCTGATGAGAAATCAGCTGACAACCTGTGGGAGCTCCTTTGTAGGTAACAGGTTGCTTTTCTTTTTGCTGCTTTTAATATGCTTTCTTTGTCTTGAATTTTTGGCATTTTAATTATGATGTGTCTGGGCGTGGGCCTCTTTGGGTTCTCCTTGCTTGGAACTCTCTGTGCTTCCTGAACTTGTGTGACTTTTTCCTTGACCAAGTTAGGGAAGCTTTCTGCCATTATTTCTTCAAATATGTTCTCTATACCTTGCTTACTTACTTTTTTTTTTTTTTTTTAACATATCTTTATTGATTTCAAGGAGAGGAAAGGAGGGGGAGAGAGAGATAGAAACATCAATGATGAGAGAGTCATTGATCGGCTGCCTAGCCTGCAACCTGGGCATGTGCCCTGACCGGGAATTGAACCCTGATCTCCTGGATCCTAGGTCGATGCTCAACTGCTGAGCCACGCCGGGCCGGGCTCCCTTGCTTACTTTTGACCTCTTCTGGCACTCCTGTAATTNGCTGTTGATCTCTCCCTTAAAATCCTTAATGTTAATATTAATGGGTCCTTATTTATTGCCATTTTAATTTTTTATGTTCATGTTTCTCTCTCTATTTCTTCTTCTTATTACAGCAGTCACTTTAACATTTTCTACAGTGCTGGTTTGGTGGTGATAAACTCCTTTAGCCTTTTTTTGTTTGGGAAGCTCTTTATTTTACCATCTATTTTGAATGATAACCTTGCTGGATAGTGTAGTCTTGGTTTCAGATCCTTGTTTTGCATTACCTTGAATACTTCATGCCATTCCCTTCTGGCCCTCAGGGTTTCTGATGAGAAATCAGCTGACAACCTGTGGGAGCGCCTTTGTAGGTAACAGGTTGCTTTTCTCTTTGCTGCTTTTAATATGCTTTCTTTGTCTTGAATTTTTGGCATTTTAATTATGATGTGTCTGGGCGTGGGCCTCTTTGGGTTCTCCTTGCTTGGAACTCTCTGTGCTTCCTGAACTTGTGTGACTTTTTCCTTGACCAAGTTAGGGAAGCTTTCTGCCATTATTTCTTCAAATATGTTCTCTATACCTTGCTTACTTACTTTTTTTTTTTTTTTTTAACATATCTTTATTGATTTCAAGGAGAGGAAAGGAGGGGGAGAGAGAGATAGAAACATCAATGATGAGAGAGTCATTGATCGGCTGCCTAGCCTGCAACCTGGGCATGTGCCCTGACCGGGAATTGAACCCTGATCTCCTGGATCCTAGGTCGATGCTCAACTGCTGAGCCACGCCGGGCCGGGCTCCCTTGCTTACTTTTGACCTCTTCTGGCACTCCTGTAATTCGAATATTGTTATGTTTCATGNCACCAGGTTAGGGAAGTTTTCTGCCATTGTTTCTTCAAACAGGTTCTCTAACCTTTGCTTACTTTCAACCTCTTCTGGCACTCCTATGATGTGAATATTGCTATGTTTCAGGTTGTCCCACAACTTCTGTAGACTGTCCTCCTGTTTTTTAATTGTTTTCTCTTTTTGGATCTCTGATTGAGTGATTTTTTTCTACCCTGTCTTCTAATTCTCTGATCTGATCCTCAGCTTCCTGTAATCTACTGTTTATTCTTTCCAGTGTATTCTTTATTTCTGCTGTCATTCTTCATTTCTGGCTCGTCATTTTTCATAGTTCTNTCCTTGTTTTGCATTACCTTGAATACTTCATGCCATTCCCTTCTGGCCCTCAGGGTTTCTGATGAGAAATCAGCTGACAACCTGTGGGAGCTCCTTTGTAGGTAACAGGTTGCTTTTCTTTTTGCTGCTTTTAATATNTCTCCATTTCATTTAGCTCTTTTTCTGGAGACTTCTCTTGTTCTTTCATTTGGGGCTTGTTTTTTTTGTCTCCCCATTTTTACTGTCTGTTTGGGTTTGTTTCTATGTATTAGGTAGATCTGCTAGGACTCTCAATCTTTTTGAACAGTCTCTGGCGCAGGCCAATGTCAGATGCTGTTTGTAACTGTCCTTGAGTACCCTATTTGGAGCTATCAATAACCCATGGCTTGAGGTCCCCCTGTTGGGGCTGAGTACATTTGAACAGGACCAAGATGCACACTAAAGTCTGCTTTTCCAAGGCCAGGGTCCAGAAGCAGATCAGGCAAAGACTCACAGCACTCTGAGGTCTGCCTCTGCCTGCAGGCTGATTAATCTGCTTCTCTTAATGAGCCTAAGGCTGTAGAAACTCGGAGGGGTAGGGGGAGAGGTTTTCCAGCAGGGTGGGGCAATTGCTTTGCCCTCAGGTGAAAGCTGCTTGGAAGGTAAATGTCTGTCTCTGCAGTATGAGGGAATGACTCAGCACGGGAATCCAGAGGGGTGCCCTCTGAGCTTTATCTCCAGAGCCCACACAACTCTAGATTCTCCTCACACAGCTCCAGTCCACTCTGCCCTCTCTCTGCTGGAGCCCAAGGTGAGTGGCTGCGCATGAAACTGTGCTTTGTCTCTTTTTGAGGGTGCCTGCATTTTCATCCATTTCTCCCTGGCAGACAGAAACCCAGCAGCTTTTCACAGCCAGATGTTTTGGGCACCTTTCTCAGTTCTGGTGCTCTTGGCTGGCAAGCCCAGCCTGGGGTTTAGGCCCCAGAGTCCTCAGTGGGAACCCCCATAGCTGAGATGTCCCTCTGGACCTTCAGCTGCTGCCCGTGGGAGCCCAGCCAGCCCTCTCTGGCCTCCGCACTCCCTCCCAGTCTCTACGTGGTCCCCACTTTTCCTCCTTTGTTATGAGGGTGGCNGGACCTTCAGCTGCTGCCCGTGGGAGCCCAGCCAGCCCTCTCTGGCCTCCACACTTCCTCCCAGTCTCTACGTGGTCCCCACTTTTCCTCCTTTGTTATGAGGGTGGCCTCCAGCTCGTCTTCAGTTGCAGTTGATTATTCAGGATGTTTTTCCTATGTTTTAGTTGTAATTCCAGTTTGGTGTCGGGGGAGTGTCAGTGTAGCTTGCACTCAGTCCACCACCATTTTTAATCTCCTCTCCTTTTATTCTTATTTTTTCTCTTAGAGTAGGGCTACTCTAAACATTCTTTTTCATGTCTTCTGTTAACATGTGGAGTAGTTTTCCAGGATTTCCCAGAACTTCCTAGGAGTGGAATTGTTGGTATGTAGAGAATGTCAATGCCTAACTTTCAAGAAAATGACACATTGTTCTGTATGGTTTTATTAACTTATTCTCCTACCTGCAGTATGAGTGTCCTGCTGATCTGCACCTTCTACAAAAATTGGTGTTGTCAAACTATTTTTTGTCAATTCGGAGGGTAAAGACTGATGCCTCCTCGTGGTCTTAATTCGCATTTCTTAGTTTGAGCATGCATTGAACATCTTTTTATATGTTTATTAGCCACTCATATTTCCTATTCTACCAATTTCTTTACACATTTTTTTGGGGTCTTTTTTTGTATCAATTTTAGGCATTGAAAAACTAATTTCTGTTATTTATTCTTGGCTGATTTTATGTGTGACATATATCTTCTTGCAAT